GGCAGACCTCTCCTGACCCGCCCGCTGCTCCCCTCAGCAGTGTACTGCGTCGATCTGCCTGTTCTGCTCCCCGCTCTGTCCCTGGTGAATCCTCTCACCCTCCGCATCTCTGGCCTGTACCCCAGTTCTGTATAAATAAATAAATAAATCTTAAAAAAAAAAATCTTCGGCCCTGAGAGGCTACTTTCGCATGAGTTCGATTCCCGCCTGCCCCAGAGGTGACCACATGGCGTGGTGGATCTCTCCTGGCCCTCCCGCTGCTCCCCTCAGCAGTGTACTTCATGGATCTGCCTGTTCTGCTCCCTGCTCTGTCTCTGGTGAAGCCTCTCACTGCCCCGAGCCTCTGGCCTGTACCCCAGTTCTGTATGTACAAATAAAAAATAAATCTTAAAAAAAAATCTTCAAAGAGGAAATAACTAACTTTAAAAAAAAAATGTTCCAGAGATGCTTTATTTAAATATTATTGGGGGCTGGAGGGGCTCCCCTGCTTCCCCACTATTTAAATTATACCAAATGGACTGGTATTTTTAAGAGGATGCCTTACTTTTGCATAGTCTACTTCACTCAATTTTAATTGTTTCCAGTTCTGCTCTTACTTCTAACTTTGGAGCATCCCAGACATTTCAGGAGGAGGGAGGTTCCCATTAAATAATTGATGGTAGGTAGTTGTGGTAATAACATATAGGCTCTAAATATAATTCCATTTATTAATATAACTCCACATATCAACATAATTCTATAAATGAAATATATAAGATCTATTTAACTAAACAGCCAGATCTATTTAACTAAATAGCCAGTTCTCCTCCAAAGTGACTTTAGGTACCTATAAAGGACATCTTCATTTGAAAGGAGACTGCTTGGGACAATAGGTGGGTCAGCAAGACTTGCTCTGACAAATATGATTAATTCTGAAATGAATTTCTAAAGTAGCATCTAGTGATGCTGAAAGCGAACTGTTAAAGGTAAGGATCATGCCTGGTGCTAGAGGAAGGAGAAAATCTGGCTCATGGGTTGACTAGACAGCCTGGGTGTGGAGGATTCAGCCCCACATGGAGCTCACCAGGAGCCTGGTGCCCTGGGCAAGTGCCTTAACCCTGTGAGCATCCACTGGCAAGTCTGTAAAGTGAAGAAAATCAGGCTTTTCCACCTCCTGACCAAGAATACTTTGTCCCCCCCAGGGACTCAATAAATGGTGGCCATTGCTGCCCCAGGATAAGCATGAGAACAACATTCTGCTGACTTGGAGGCAGGCAAGAGTGCTCTGGAGCACAGCAGTTTTGGAATGAGAAGGCAGGAAGAAAAAGACTAGGCAGGGAAGAACAAGTCAGGGAAGGCCTGAAAGCCAAGACCAGGGCGGGAGCTGAGAAAGCCCACGGAGCCTTGGCACAGGCGAGCAGACATAAGCCAAGCCGCCCAAAGACTTCTGAACGAGCTTTTGCTGTAACAAAAAACTTTGGATCATTTTGAGAATCTCCCATGGGGCACCCATATGTTGCACCTCCTCCCTTGCTCCATTCCTGATAGATTCAGCCCAGATGACTTATAAACACACTCAAGTTGGAGTCAATCAAAATGACCTTGTGAACCACAAGAAAGTGATGTTTAAAGATGTGCCAGATAAGGGGCAGGAGTCCACACAGATGGGAGGGCAGGGCCTCATGTGTTCTGTGCTGCACTAACAGGGCCATGACACACAATGGTAGTGGCGGCCTTGGGTGCTACATTTGCACCTCTACAATCCTAATCTGGGGACCTGGTGCCAGGGATTTGCAGGAAACAGGTGAGAAGTAACAGAAGGGTTGAGTTTCTTGCTTGAGTTTCTTGTTTGGAAACATTTGAAACTCACAGGAGTATAAGCTTTGTTTGCATTTCCACTCCATTTTTTCAGGATAGATCTGGATCATTTTCTCTGGGAGTGCTGGTTGCTGTCTGACCTCAATGCACTGTGAGATAGAATGGAACTATACAATGACACTTGTCACCTGAAACTGACTGACTCACAGGGACCCAGGGAAGGCTTAAAACACAAGAGAAGAGGTCTTTGAGAGCCTTTCATTCAAACTTCCTCCTTAAATACAAGGAAACCAACACCAAAAAAAGAATGAGAGATCACACAGTTATTTAGGGCAGTGCTAGGAATTTCGGCCTCTTTGCAACAAATATTGGTTGTAATAGGATACAGAATCTGTTCTCAAATATAAAGAAAGCAAAGAGAATTTAAACAATGTGATAGTAGAGAATCTGTTCTCATATCTAAAGAAAACAAAGAAAATTTAAACAATGCTTGAATATGTATGCTTTTGCAGTCGCTTTGAAGACTGGTTTAATTAATAGTATTGCAAGTACAATACAGCTATTACAATATTACTTGGGTCACTGGAGTTTTATTTTTCTAGTTTAAATATAACTTTTGGGCCCTTTCTGGTGGTGCAGGGGATTAAAGCACAGCACTATGAAGCTAAAGCCACTTCAGTACAAGTTTGATTCCTGGCCAGGGAGGTGATCCACAAGGCACAGCAGACCTCTCTTGACACACACGCTGCTCCTCTCAGTAGTGTGTTTCATTGGATCTGCCTCTCCTGCCCCCCACTCTGTCTCTGGTGAATCCTCTCGCTGCCCCTGCACCTCTGAACTGTACCCCAGTTCTGTATGCATAAATAAATAAATCTTTAAATATATGTGTGTGTGTGTATGTGTGTATGTATGTATATAACTTTCAAGTGGGTAAAATTTTACAAGTTTGACCCCTTTGACATCCTACCAGCAGGTATAATCCCATTGACAGTGAGACAGAACTGGAATTGTATACATAATTAGATAACTGGGAAACAGTAACCAGATTTTAAAATCTAGTCACCAAATCCATTGCTAAGATTCTTCCTTGTGGTTGGACTCATATAAGTACAGTTGTGAGGCGTTCAATGATGGGGTCCTTTCCAAGAAATAAGTCGTTGGGGAATTTCACTGTTGTGCATGCCAAAGAGTATAATCACACAAGCCTGTTGGCACTGCTAATTTCACACCTATACTATATGGTATCGCCTGTTGGGACCACTGTATTGCTGCTGACAGAAATGCCACTAACTGATGCATGACTACATGTGTCAAAATGCTCTCCACAGTATTGTTGAGACCCAATTTTGTATGAAAATGTGAGATTTAACTTTCAGACAAGAAAAAAAATGGACCATCACTTGAAATAGAAAAACAAACCTAAATGTTCACCAAAAGAGAGCCTGGTTAAATAAATTATAGCAAATAAGCATACAAAGGAATATTATAAGCAGTTAAAAGCAATAAAGTATCCTAAATTTAAGGTAAGAATTTCAATTTGGGTAGCAAGTTTGCATAATTTCAAATATTTGGTATTTGTTAAACTCTACTACAGGAGGTCAAATATAGATAAAGAACAATGAGAAGTGAGTAGACGATTTCCCTTTCCCTAGAAAAAAAATTCACATTTCTTTCTTTAATATCTCAGTTTTGAATTGCTTTGAGACATCGTTTCCTTGGCTGACTATCTTAAACTTGTAATTCTCAATACTGACAACTCTTCAAACATCTTTGTCTGGTCACCACTCTTGTTAGAGTCTCAATGTATTGTTCTGGTGGCCCTTGGGTGTGGCTGTTTTGTAAGCACAAATTCTCTTCCTTCCTTCATTCCTCTAATGAACAGACAGGGCTGAGAAGCACTAAACTAATGGTACTTTGTCCTACCATCTTTATTTTAAAGGCAATAATTAATTGGAGCTGAAGCAATGCCTCTTAATTAGCTTTGTTTTTATTTTACTCTTAATGGCTTTGATACAACTAAATTATTGTGCTGTTATTACTACTTCATTGTTAACTAAAGTGAGTAGTTTGGGACCCTCCCTGGTGATGCAACTAGTTAAAGCGCAGCATTGCAAGCTGGCCTCAGCCCCTTCTGTATGAGTTTGATCCTGGCCCCAGAGGTGACCCACATGGCACAACAGACCTCTCCTAACCCGCCGGCTGCTCCCCTCAGCAGCGTACTTCATCAGTCTGCCTGTTCTGCTCCCCACTCTGTCGCTGGTGAATCCTCTGACCTACCACACCTCTGGCCTGTACCCCAGTTCTGCAAGCATAAATAAGTAAATATATTTTTTAAATACTTTAAAAAAAATTGTTCAGCCAGTGTCACACTGTGGCTCACATCTCACCCCAACTTTGAGTCCCTTGAGACACCTCCCTACCCTCCTCCTATCTTCAGCTTTGTCCTTACACCTTCTCCCAATCCCTGAAGCTTCTGAACACATTCTGACCCCTAGGCCTTCTCACATGCTGCTCCCATCACTCTAAGTATTTCCCCTGACCTATGCATGCTTTACTATATTACCTCCTTCGGGAAAAAATGCCATCTCTGCCCTTCAACCCATCTAAAAATCTCTTACTCTGCTCTATTGTCCTCCACTGTATTTACAACAACCTGACTTTATGCCAAATATTAAGCTTAATTACTGCTCTATTTCTTTTATCTAGAAGATCAACCCATGAGAACAGGGGTTTTATTTTGTTTGATGTTACATACACATTTGCTCCCAAGAACACGGCAGGCCCTCAGTAGATGTTTATATGCAGACATATCCACCCAACATCTACACAGAGAGCGAGAAAAGCAAAAAACCAGAACAGAGTTAAAGCCTGTCCTGCTGTAATCCTAGAAACCATAAGCATAACAACTTCTTGATTGATTCATGGGTGTTAACCACATTCTATTTTTCTTAATAAAGGAGCTAAATGAGTCAACACTTTAAACCTCTGGATAATAAAGCAGCTCACACTGACAATGAACTATAATCAAATGTGTGGATAATAACAGTTTATTCACCCTTTCATTCATAAAGTAAACAAAGTGAATATGACTTTAAAAATAAAGAAAACATTATCCCAACGCAATAAACTTTACCCACTGTACCAAACTCTACATGTGTTTATTACATTTCACAATGAAAACCAACCACCAAGTGTGTGCTTACCCATTCTTCTAAAATGCGTGACACAGCTTCATTGGCCCTTGCCATGTTCCTGCAGGCCAGGATCACGTGTGCACCATGGAGGGCGAAAGACTTGGCAGTTTCAAACCCTGTGGTTTAGAGGAAAGTCAACATTAGGAAACATAAAAGCAAGACGCTGAGTCCTGGTACACAGCCCTCATTAAGCACCACATGCCCTAGTTTGCTGCCTAGACTGCCCCAAAATGGCTAGCGACATTTTTAGTAGTCACAGTTCAGGGCAGGAAGACATTGGCATCCAGTGGGTGGAGGCCAGAAAAATTACAAAATATCCAACAAAGCACAGGGCATCCCCATGAAAATGAATCCTCTAGTCCAAAATGTCCACAGTGTGGAGGATGAGAAAACCTGGCCCAAGAGCACAATGATTTCAAAGGTGAAAGCCGAACCATGTAAGAACTCACAGCATAGTCAGTCACTTAAGTAGGACTTCATCATAACAAGCTCCCACACTAAACACAAAGAGTAAAGATAGATACAGTCTCAGACATGTCCACTGCCCTTATGGAGTTCACAGTCTAGAAGATAAAGCAGACATGGAGAATAAAACCAACAACACCTATTAAGTTTTGACAGTGTTTTGCAATGTGCTGAATACCTCTATCACTTCTGCTTCCAGTGAAGGCAGTCTAGGGTTCTCAGACTCATGCCCCCTCTAATATTTAGGAAAGCAGGAGAAACAAGCACACAACACAAATATATACTCACACACAAAACCCACATGTATGCACATGAGCATTGATGCATTAACACATGGATACAAACATGCAATCATATAGCTCTTTGAAGATATCAGGATACTATGACTAGAAATTTTGGGAATCAGAAACCGAGAAGAGTTAAAAGGCCAAGAAAAAGGGCCAGCATTTAGTGCTTCTGCTCTGAGAAAAATAATCTTCAAAAATAAAGTTAGACAAAACTTTTAAACAGACAAAAGTTGATAAGTCACCAGCAGATCTACCCTAGAGGGAACAGAAAATGATGTCTTCCAGACAGACAGAAAATGACCCCAGACAGAGATGGAAAATGTACATAACAGCAGTAGGTTATTAATTTTAGGATACTTAATAAGAATTTGTACACCAATAATAACACATAATCCAAGAGGCAAGTAAACAGAATTAAATCATTCTAAGATCCACACACTGCCCAAAAAAAATAAAGTACTACTTTAGTCACTGATTCAGGTTGTGATCTCTACAATTAACACTAAGATAATAGCAAAACATAGACACTTAATAAGCTAATAAAAAAGGAAGTAGACTAATAAAAAGAAGAAAGACAAGAAAAGGAAAATAAAATTAGTTGGATAAATAACCCCTGTTAGGGGGTATACTTAACACCAAATGGATATATAATTACATCAAATATAAGTGAGTTAAGAACTCAATCAAAAGACAAAGATTGTCAGACAAGATTCTGAGATCATGAATTTGGGCACATTCAAGGTGGTATAGCTTTAGACTGTCAGATTAGATTAAATAAACTCTTTCACATAATGGAAAAAGAAGAGAGATTTCACATTTGTTTTATAAGGTTCAAACTACTCAGTCATTTGGAAAATGTAAATTAAAGATACAGTGAAATATAACTACATACCTACATATTTAATACCACATGGCTGACATGAAAACTAACAAATTACCAAAACATGTGTTGGCAAGCATGTGGTTCAACTGCAACACTTACTAAAGAGAGAAAGGCTCTAGCAAGACAGAAAAGAGGAAAGAGAGGGGAGGGGGTAGGAGAGCTGCTCTAAAGGAGGCAACAGCAAATCTTGTCAAAAAGGCCATATCTAGAATCCAGTGCAACAGCAAAGTCATCAATTCCACTAAAGGAAAACAACACTGTAATTCAGCTAAGTCTGTGTCAAATAACTGTCAATGCTTTCCAAGACAATGCAAATAGGGATAAAATATCAGTATTTCATCACCTTACTGAGATTGCCATGTGAAAGGCCTCATGAAGTTCATTCATCCCGACTACTTCCGTATACTTAATCTCTCTGGAGTCCCACCTATGAGTGTAAACTAGATCTTAAGGGAAGCTAGCACAGCACTGTGCAAAACTCAAACTCAGGAGTTTGACACACTTGTGTTGATGCCAGCTTTAAGTACTTGTAAGTCACAGAGCGCTGTCCTTAGCCGTCAGAAACTAGTTACCACCATTTCTCAATATAAACTATTATCAAATCATTATGTTATGCATCTGAAATACCTATGATGTTATATGTTGATTATACCTCAAAAAGGAAAGTTTTATAATAAAATAAACTCAATTATCATTTTTAAAATGGAAAGCAGTGAGTAGTAGAATCTAGCATAACCATAGTAGGTGGGGAAATAAATTGGTTTAGAGCTCCTGGGTTTAGAGCCCTGTGGCCACCTCCCAAATATAGCATAGTCTTTATGACTGAAAAATGAAACCTCTCCCAGGTCTACTGCCAGCAACAACCCAAGAGCAGATCAGCTTTAGTAGCAACCAGAATTTAGAGCGATTAGTTGCAAGATTCACTATTCCATTTGTCTGAATGCTCCAAAACACCCTTGAATTTCATTGTTTGGACAACCTGAGTTGTTTTTTCAGAATATGCCAAGTTTTATATTCCAAGATATGCCAAGATACCCATTATCATAACCTGAAGAAAACCTCCTATATTTGGATATGATGTCAGAACAATACACAGATTTCAAATTACAAGTCATTAACATCCAAATGTTGTTTGCCTCCTCTTTGGTATATACAGTAAAAGGCGCTTGAAGTTATGTGTTCAAGGCATGAAGCAAGGAGACAATACTCGAAAATTTACTCTTTTTTTTAAAGATTTATTTATTCATACAGAACTGGGGTACATGCCAGAAGTGTGGTGGGTGAGAGGATTTGCCAGAGACAGAGTGGGGAACAGAACAGGCTGATCTACTGAAATACACTGCTGGGAGCAGTGGGCAGGCAGAAGAGGTCTGCCACACCATATGGGACAGCACGCGGGCTGGGGTTTGAACTTGTGCTGCAATGGCTTCTGAGAGCTTCATAGTGCAGTGCTTTAACCCGTTGCACCACCAGGGAGAGCTCGAAAATTTACTCATTTTTTTAAAAGATTTATTTATTTATTCATACAGAACTGGGGTACAGGCCAGAGATGCGGAGGGTGAGAGGAGAGGATTCACCACAGACAGAGTGGGAAGCAGAACAGGCAGATCAACGAAGTACACTGCTGAGGGGAGCAGCAGGTGGGTCAGGAGAGGTCTGCCACGCCATGTGGTCTCCTCCCGGGCAGGCGGAGATCGAACTCATGCGGAAGTGGCTTAAGCTTCTTAGTGCTGTGCTTTAGCCCACTGCGCCACCAGGGAGGGCCCTTTTTTTTTTAAGATTTATTTATTTGTGCGTACAGAACTGGGGTACAGGCCAGAGGTACAGAGCTGGTGAGAGGATCACCAGAGACCGAGTCGGGAGTAGAGCAGGCAGATCAACGAAGTACACTGCTGAGGGGAGCAGGGGGCGGGTCAGGAAAGGCCTGGCGCGCCATGTGGTCACCTCCGGGGCAAGCGGGAATCGAACTCATGCGGTAGTGGCTTTAGCTTCTTAGTGCTGTGCTTTAACCCGCTGCACCACCAGGGAGAGCTCGAAAATTTACTCATTTTTAACTGCGATGCCAATTTCACCCCTAGTCACCAGTGAGCAAAAAGCACCTACATCATTTGGGAAAAGAGAGGAAGTGAAACACCAGGTTTCGTCGTCCAGCTGTTCTGACGCTGGATGGGTACAGGCATGATGGGAAAGAAATCTTGTGGCTTGCTTGTGGATTGATGTGCTGTGTCAATCAGGCTAACGAAATGCTGACAGCCATATGGAGACTACAGGAAGTGGCTAAAACTCACTTCACTTGTAATACCGGGACTTTGTACACCCAAAAGCTCTTGTTGAAAATGTTGGAGTCCATGTCTCTGTGAAATTCCAGGTCACTGATGCTAGTTGAAAGTAACCAGAAGGAAAGAGACAGATACCGGATAGGCTCACTTATATGTGCAATACAGACAAACTCATAACTGGGAAGCAAAAGACATAGAACTGAGGCACACAGCAAAGGAGGGGGCAGGAGCACAAAACAAGGTAGGGATGATGGCAAGGGGATATGGTGATGGTGAATGAGTGATACAGTGGAGGATGATGTAAATAATAATAATAATTAATTAATTAATTAAAGAGAAAGAGAAGGAAATCTCCAGGTTAGAGGTTAGAGCAAAACTGAAAAAGTGTCCATTACATCTTTCTCGGAGGGGATAAAAAGGAAGAATGATGCAACGTAGTAGGGGAAGGTGGAAGAGGCAAGGCTTAACCATTATTTGCAATCATATTTTTAATGGATTGAAAGAGCACTGATACAATGAAGGGTCATACAGGCCCCAAGGCTTTGTTTATCTAATTTGCTAGCTTCACTGCAAACCCCTTTTTTCACTTCTGTATGCCATGGGACTAACACCCAGAAGGATTCAATAAATACCTGCCGAAGGAATAAATGGTTCTTACTGATTGCTAATGGCTATATTCTGGGCTATTTTAAAACAATCCAAGCTGTTCCTAACAATACTCACTGATCACCCTCTAGCTTCCTTCTCTAATGGTGAATAAATATTAAAATTCAGCAGGCACCACTCACTGTAGTTCTGAATGATACTACCTAGAAATCTGGGGCGGGAGTGGGAGGAAGCATGCTCTCTTCCAAAATTTATTTCCCCAAGCAAATTTGTTAAGTCATACTATCTCACTTGACAAAATAACCTCCAAGAAGGACTTTCTATTCCCCAACAGACACCTGTGACAGGACGGGAGCCACAGGCTGCAGCCACAGGTTTACATTCTGTCTCCTTTAGAAAATTCCTGATGGTACTTAAGGTGAGTGCATCTGTCCCTGTGTCTGGTAAAAATCACACTCTGGAAGTTCCATCTTCCTTTCTCAAAGCAGTGCCTCGTGCTGCTACTCTTTCTTTAACAGCCACAATAGACAACTCCACTTTCTTACCCTTTGCAAGGGCCTTCAGAGCAAAAACAAAACATGGGTATATCGAAGGAT